ATTCCCACTAATCCATCGATACCAAGTTTGTCCTGGTCCATGACTGGGAAGGAGCTGAAATATCCACACAGAGTGCAGGGGCGTCGGACTGGGGGGGGGGGGGGGGGGGGGTACCGTTTACCCAGGGCCCACTGCAGGGAGGGGCCCTGAGACAGCTTTGAATAAAAATGTTTTTGTCGTGGTTTCTGCTGAATCTAACTGTGTTGTGCTGAGTCTTCTGTGTGCAGGTGGGTGTGTCTGGAGAGCAGCTGGAGAGCAGCTGCTACCTATCTGTTCATCAGTGGTCAGGGGATTTAAGGAGCGTTGGGACAACTCATCAGTACCGGATGATACTCAGCATTGGGTAGAACTTTGCCAGCACCTAGCTCATGTCTAAAAACTTGTTATTTTGTGTATCTCGCCTTCCTGAGATTATCTGTCCTGTTCTCCTCCGACCTCCTCAGGAAACTTCTCCTCCACCAACCAAGCCTCCATCGGCTGCAAGAAGACTCACCGGATTCCAACCCTGTCTGCCAGTCCCGTCGCTCACCCCTGACCGCCTGCTCTCCAATCCCCACCTGCCATCTCGGACACCTCCAACTCTGGTACTCAGCTCCCAGCCTCACCTGACTCTCGCTCTACCAGCTCAGCCAGCCGTGACTTGCCCACCCCTCTCAGCCTTACCAACAACCAGGAAACTGTAAGCTACAAACTCATTTCTTTCATGGTCAAACCTGCATATACTCACTCCAGTCTCTGTTCTAGAACCCCACCGGAACCATCGGATCTCAGACCATCATCTCCTTCGTACATTATAATAAACCTTTTTTACTTACCTTTGTCTCCGTGCATGATTCTGCATGTCGTGGGTCAAAAAGCTGCAGCCCAGCATGACAGTTTTGTTGTTGTTGTTTTTTCCCCCCAACTTACTTAATGTCTTAATAAACTTCCCTTTACCTGGATAAAGAGGTTAAGAAACAGAATTTCGCCTTAAAAATAATAACTGAATAATCTCTGAGGCATCTATCACCCCTTAAAATGTGCAAAGTGGTTTAGTCCACACCAGCGGCCAGGGGCTGCACGGCTGCATGTACAGCTAATGAGACAGCCAGAGCTGGAGGCAGGAGAGTCAGTCATGTCTTTTCCCAAGAAAGGGAAATCTGGCTTCCAGAAAAGAAAAGAAAAGATGGAGAAGGAGAAAAAGTTAATTGAACAGAAGCAAGTAGAAGGACGGTGAGCAGCAGCAGCAGAACACAGTTTTAGCTGATATTAGCTAGCTCTCAGAAGCTGCATTCATGTTAGGTGTTCAGTGTTAAACGCCTTTCCTTTCACCATCAAGATCAAATATAAATTAATTAGTGTTATCAGTGAAAACACTAATTAATATATATATATTAATCAGAATTATTATCGCGGGCGGCCGCCACCAATTAATTCACAGACCTCGCAGTAAAAACAGGTTCATTCTGTGTGGATATTTCAGCTCCTTCCCAGTCATGGACCAGGACAAACTTGGTATCGATGGATTCGTGGTAATCTCAGGAATGAGAAGCTGCCACTGTTTTTCATATAGCATGATGACACTGGTGTTAGAGGATTGTTATTGACTTGGTTAGATATTTTAAGCCTATTTTAAATTTCTTTATATTTGATCTTGAAAACGGACAATCTTATAATTTGGCTGATAATGCAGGGATTATAAAATTTAGAGTACATTACATTCACAGAGAGAACCTGGTTTAATTCATGTCATATGTATTTAATATATCAATACATATCAGCAAAGCTTAACGTCATGAACCATGACAGACATGACTGAAGAGCAGATGAAGATATCATGCCAGGCACTGATGAGAAAATATTACAAGGATCTCACAGCTGAATTTGAGAATGAGATGCTACACCTGAGAACAATATATGGTGCCACATTCGGTCTCCTCTTGAGCTGCTTAATGCCATCTACAGGATGCAATTACAGAGCATTTTTGGAGAAGTTTGTATTGGACTGAGGATATTTTGCACATACCTGTGACTGTTGCTGGGGGTGAACGGGCTTTTAGCAAACTGAAACTGGTGACAAAAAACCTAGTCAATACTTGCTTCTGTTCAATTAACTTTTTCTCCTTCTCCTTCTTTTCTTTTCTGGAAGCCAGAATTCCCTTTCTTGGGAAAAGACATGACTGACTCTCCTGCCTCCAGCTCTGGCTGTCGGCATCTGCGATGTCTCATTAGCTGTACATGCAGCCGTGCAGCCCCTGGCCGCAGGTGTGGACTAAACCACTTTGCACATTTTTAAGGGGTGATAGATGTCTCAGAGATTATTCAGTTATTATTTTTAAGGCGAAATTCAGTTTCTTAACCTCTTTATCCAGGTAAAGGGAAGTTTATTAAGACATTAAGTAAGTTGGGGGGAAAAAACAACAACAATAAAACATTTTTATTCAAAGCTGTCTCAGGGCCCCTCCCTGCAGTGGGCCCTGGGTAAACGGTACCCCCCCCCCCCACCCCCCCCCCCACCCCCACCCCCACCCCCAGTCCGATGCCCCTGTCCACAGCTGTCTTAAATGTAGGGCACATACGAGTCTCATCATGTGGGGTCATGTAGGGGCCCAACAGGGCTTGGCCCATATATATGGACTGTCCCCTGTGGCCCCTCCTGGGCCCCTCACTGTGGAGTCCTCATGTGTCCCGCATTTCACAGTGGTACCCTGGTCCGCACATGTGGGCTTCCCACCATTTAATTAAAACAATAGTGGATTTGATTTATAAAATAAAGACACTCAAAGTGCTTTTCATTATTCATGCTGCTCCCATCTACCGGGGCAGCTGAACTGTGTGGCTGTGATGCTGATTGCCTCCAGAGCTCTGAGGGAAGCCACAGAAACACCGACTCTTTCAGTTAATGTTTCACTTCTGAGTCCACGTTTTTCTAGCTAAAAACACCCGACTACCTCTATTAGCTTTGGGTTAGCTCCGGGTTTGCACAGGTAATTAGTAGCTAACCCCAATGGCTCCAAACACCCAGTAGCTTCAGGGGTTAGCTCAGTTAGCTTGTAGCTACATTGGTTCAGAGTTTCTGGGTGTCAATTATTTGCTCCCACTCTCACTCCAACTGGTTACTTCTCATTTCTTAAACAACCATGTGGAAAGGCACGTCTGGTGGTCGTGGAAAACCTCTTTTTCCATTTTTGGATTGTCTGGTGGTGACAAGACGTGTGGCATGGCCAAGATGGAGGTGGTGGGAACCGCCATTTTGTACCCACGTCTACGGGTACAATTAAAGTCCCATAAAACCTTTTGTTGTCGGCAGAGGTTGTACATTTTCCTGTTTGCAGAAGAATTTATCTATTTTAAAAGAATCTTCTAAAAGCATTACAAACATCAAGTGTCATTTGCTTTTGTCACAGATGTGTGAGCAGGTGACGTTAAAAAATAAATCTCTGTTGAGATCATTTAAAAAGCGGTGCAACAAAAATTCATCAAATAAATGCATATATACATGCTCCTGTCTGGTTAATTGATTTCATTTCTGTGGGAATTTTTAGAAAAGCCTTTCTCTGGTCTGCGGTTTGGTGTTGAAGGTGTGCAGTTTTCTTCAGGACCCCACAGGATCAGACTTTGGGTTTTGTTTGAGTCACTGGATGTCATTAACCTCAGGCTTGTGTCTTTAAGATGTATTAGAGATGGTATTAACCTCTGCTGAGCGTCGACCCTCGGTCGGCCCTTAAGCATCATGGAGAACTAGTTTCTGTTGGTATGATTAATCAAATCTCCTTAAACATCTGCCAGAACTCTGAGACTGCCCACTCAGGAATGAGTTTATCAAAGAGTACATATTAATGCATTAAAAAAAGATGAAGCTTCTTCTTTCTTTTTTTAAGTTCAAACACCAGTTGTGTTTTGGCCATGATAATTTTAGCTTGACAGGTGTGTGGATTACTTAAACGTACGTATAAAACATGAATGATGGCCTGTTTACAAATTGATAATCAAAATTGAATACACATTTAGACTTTTACAATCACAGGTTCCTCACGTCTTGTTTTGATTTTAACGTCTTTGCGTTAGTTTTGAAAAAAAAATGCCCCAAACTGAAAAGGTTGGCTCCCACGCTGTCCAGGAGTCCAAAAGTCCTCCTGGAGATCCAGACGGCTGAGTTAGTGAGAGTTAAGTTCACAGAGTGATAAAGTGCAGCCTCCAGCTCTTTCCTGAACAAAGGCCCACTGCGGCACAAAGAAGTTTAAAAGAAAAATGCAGCAAAGGGGGAAATCTGACAAAAGAAGAAGAAGAAAATATCATTTCTATAGTGCCTCTCAAGATAAAAATCACGAGGCGCTTCACAAAAACAAAAAATGTAAAAATATAAAAAAGCACTTAGAAAATGTTTAAAAATATATTTAAAATGAGCAAAAATAGACAGTTGTGATTAAAAAAATGTTAAGAAAGAGAGCGAGTGAATAGGAAAGAGGGAAATCAGTGGATCCTGAGGAAGGTGGAATAGGTGGGGAGAGCAGAATAAAGAGAGAGTGGTGAAGAAGGTCATACAAAAGCCAGCTTGAACAAGTGAGTCTTCAGCTGCTTTTTAAAGGAGTTCACTGAGTCCACTGATCTCAGGGTCAGGGGGAGAGAGTTCCAGAGTCTGGGGGCCCCAGCAGCAAATGATCTGTCACCTTTGGTCTTTAGCCTGGTGCTGCACAACCAGTAGGCTTTGATCACTGGACCTCAGCGACCTGCTGGGGGTGTAGGGACTAAGAAGATCACCAATTTAAGATGGTGCTTGTCCATGTAAGGCCCTATAGACCAGAACCAGGATCTTGAAATGAACCCTGAAGTTGACTGGCAGCCAGTGAAGCTGGAGGAGAAGCGGGGTGTTGTGGGGAAGGATGAATGCACAGTAATGAAGTGGAATCTGGTCTTCTGTCTGTAAAGCACATCAAAGGAGATTTTTGATCTCAGGAAGCAGAACTTTGACATCTGACATGCACCTCCTCTGTCTCCATCCTCCCATCATGATGAAATGGATGATAGTCACCGTGCATGATGGAGGGAAAGAGGGAGGGATAATGCCTTCAGAATACATGATGACTGTAGTCACTGGGCTTAAACTGACTGGGGGGTTGTGTGGCGTGCAGAGACAGAGAGCGTGCATGTGAATGACACGGAGCACCAGCATCACTCTTCCCCCTGCAGCAGCTCTCAGCCTCTCCTACTGATGGGAGATGAAGGGCATCCGACAGGTTGAGGAACATACGACACACGCAGCTTTCCAACTCCAACTGCTTTTTTAATTTATCCGAGTACCCACAAGAAATACCTAGTAAGCTGCAGAAGTAGAGCAAATTTTCTGAGCGAGTTTCACTCAGCACTCACAGCCTGTTGAAGAGGCGAGGGGAGGCTGAACAACATGACGGACTGTGAAGAGGGAGAAGGGGGACCCAACAGCCAGGGTGAGTGACAAAAGCTGCACCGAGTGATGAGTGGAGTGTGTCAATGCTGCGTCAGTTTGTGTTTCCAAGGCAGGTCACACATGTGCCCACTGCGATTACCTCAGTTCAAGGGAAGCTGAACGTTCTACTTTCATTGAACTTGTGTGTGTTTAAATAAATAACAAATCTAACACCATCACTCTGGTTTTTATATTTCCTCTGATGGGTGTAAATGTGTATGTTCGTTATATCTAAAATGATGATAAAAGTTCCATCTGCTCATTTTTTTTTATTCTTTGCAAATTTACAATTAAAAACTCTCTTGTTGAATTTGGCAATTTGGAGCACAAGTCCTTCTGAGGTCAACACAGGACAAACATCTTTAGCTCATGAATTGGTTACGTTTGACTCGTTCGTGTCTCTTCCTGTCCTCTCATCCAGCTGCCATTGTTTTTATAGAGATGCTTAATCAGCTCATATCATTCTAGTTATAATGGCCTTTAGTATTCAGCAGAAGCGGGAAGAATTTGTGTTTTTTGTTACAGCCAGTAGGCTACAAGTATAGTTGAGTCAGATCTTTTAACAGAGTCCTCATTGGACCAGAATCAAGCTGTAATGGAAGAACAGGAGAGGGAAGCAGCCAAGCTACAGAAATTGGAACGTGAGCACTTTGAAAGGCTGCAAGAAATAGAAGAGCAGCGTAGAAAGATTAAACGTTTGGATGAAGTTAAAAGGTTAAATGCTGCAAAGGCTCGAGTAAAGGTTTATGATGAAGCTGAGAGTGTTTCTGGAAGTCAGAGCTCATCACAGAGCATTAAAGCAGAGAGTGTAACCCAAGCTATATGCATCCCATTAAACGTCCCCCCTCAAGTTACAACTACAGCTCATCTCCAAGATGCCACAAGCCCTGCATTTGTTCCAAACGTTCCTACAGTCATAAACCAATCTCAACGAAATCCTGGTGTACCACCTCAGGTGACCATTAGCCAACCACTCAAAGCATCAAGTCCACCATTTATCCCTCAAGCCATACAAGTTTCTGCTGCTGCAAATCAGCCACAGTCTAATCTGGATCTAGTTGGCGTTCTAGCTGAAGCAATAAGCGCTAACCGTCTGCCAACTCCAGAACCTACACTATTTACTGGTGATCCTCTAAAATTCAAAGACTGGCAGTTGTCATTTGAAACCTTGATTGACAGGAAAAACATTCCAAAGAATGAAAGACTCTACTATCTCAGGAAGTACCTTGGTGGACCCGCAAAGAGAGCAGTTGAAGGCTTTCTCCTAGTGGGCACAGATGCAGCATACGATGCAGCTTGGGAAGTGTTGGAAAAGCGCTTTGGAGACCTGTTCATCATGGGAAAATGTTTTAGAGACAAGCTTCACAGTTGGCCTAAAATAAGCTCAAAGGATGGAAATGAGCTTAGAGATTTTGCAGATTTCCTTAAAAGTTGTGAAGCTGCAATGTCATAGATACAGTCCTTACATGTTCTCAATGACTGTATGGAAATTCAGAAACTCTTGCTGAAACTTCCAGACTGGTTGACGACAAGATGGAATCGTGCAGCCATGGAAATGAGAAAAAATATTAGTGGACAGTATCCACCATTTTACTCATTTGTGGATTTTGTATCCACTGAAGCTGACTTAGCATGCGATCCCATAGCTTCAATGCAAGCCCTGAAGGTTTTGGAAACAAGTAAACCAAAACAGTTACGTAACCAAGTTATTCAAGCAAAAACATTAACAGTAAATTCGAACCATTTAACCCCCTCAGGTCACGTGAATGCTGTAATTTGCTTTTTCTGTAAGAAAAGGGGTCACTCACTTGATAAATGTTTCAAGTTCAGAGAAAAAACTGTCCAAGAACGCGTCAAATTTGTACAAGCGGAAAGGCTGTGTTTTGGATGTTTGAAAGGTGGACATCTTTCGAAAAGGTGTGATAAAAGAAGCACATGTGAAAAATGTCAAAGGAGGCATCCAACGTGTCTTCACGACGACAAGTTTGTTGAATGTAAAAGAGTAATACCTGCAACTGATGATAACCCTCAAGACAAACACGAAGAAAACGCCAAAGAAGGAGATGAACCAGCCACGGCAATCTCTAACAGAGCAACTCAAGCCACCTCAAATACGTTAACATCCTCTATACTACCTGTCTGGGTTTCATCTAGAAACGACCCTGACAGGGAAGTGTTGGTGTATGCACTGCTCGATTCTCAGAGTGATACATCCTTTATTTTAGATGAAATAGCTCAAGATCTTGACACAGATAAAAGTAAAACCAATCTGCAACTATTCACCATGTCTGCAAAATCAACAGTTATACCATGTGAGAAGCTGGTAAACCTTCAAGTGAGGGGGTATACACATGAAAAGAGAATCACCTTACCACCAGTTTATACAAGGGAGTTTATTCCTGTGAACAGATCACATATCTCAACATCTAAAACCGCCTTAAAGTGGGCTCATCTAGAAAGCCTAGTAGATAAACTACCTCCTTTGCTTGAATGTAAAGTTGGTCTACTTATTGGATACAATTGTCAACAAGCCCTCCTACCACGAAAGGTTATTGCGGGCAAGGACAACCAACCATACGCACAGTTAACTGATCTCGGCTGGAGCATAGTTGGCTGCTCGTCTCAGATTGAAAATGACAGTGATGTCATTGGCACAAGTCACAGGATCATTGTTTGTGAAGTAACTCCTGCGCCACAACCCACAGTGAACCTCCAGCAACAAGTGTGTTTTGTATGCAAAACTCAAGTAAAGGAAGTTAGTCCAGCTGATGTAATAAGGGCTTTGGAATCTGATTTCTCCGAGCATGCAACGGACGACAATCCAGTCTCTCAGGAAGACATTTTGAGACAAGATCTTCCAGTCAAAGAGGAAATGGTGGGAGAAGTTGAGGAAACAGATCCAGAACTCCGTAGAGGTCATACACATTCAGTGTGTTCAAAGGAAGCAAACCCACTGCTAGAGCGTCTAAAGAAGTTCTCCAGTTGGATGAAAGCTGTAAGAGCTATAGCCAGACTAAAACGATTCATCAAAGAGTACAGAGGTATTCAACAAAAGACAAACAAAGAGACTGATCTTGAAGAGAGAAAAGACACTGAGCTATTCATGATCAAGCTAGTGCAAAACGATGTTTTTTCTGAGGAAATAAAGAAAATCAAATCTCAACATGGAAATTCTTTGCACAAGCAAAGTAAACTAAAGCAGTTGAACGCTTTTCTTGATAAATCAGAAGTTCTCAGGGTAGGGGGTAGATTATCCCAATCGTCCTTGCATCCTGATGTAAAACACCCTGCAATTATTCCAAAGGAGTCCCATTTGTCAGTTCTACTCGTCAAACACTATCATGAACGTGTACATCATCAAGGAAGAGGCATGACTATCAATGAACTGCGTGCAAATGGGATCTGGATCTTAGGATCTGGAAGTTTAGTCTCTTCACACATTTACCATTGTGTTAAGTGTAGAAGATACCGAAAGGCAACAAACGTTCAACAGATGGCAGATTTGCCAGAAGTAAGAACACAAACAGCTCCTCCTTTTACGTACTGCGGTGTTGATTGTTTCGGTCCGTTCATAGTAAAGGAAGGAAGGAAGGAAGTCAAAAGATATGGATTATTGTTCACATGCTTATGTTCACGAGCTGTGCACATCGAAACACTCGAGGATCTATCAACTGATGCTTTTATGAATGCTCTTCGGGTTCTAATAGCCATAAGAGGTCCTGTCCGCCAAATAAGATGTGACCAAGGCACAAATTTTGTTGGCGCCAAAAATGAGTTTCTGAAACTCATGAAACATATGGACCAAGAACCCCAAAGAGCCATTGGATGCGAATTTGTGATGAATGTCCCATCAGCCAGTCACATGGGAGGCATCTGGGAGCGTCAAATTCGCACAGTACGGAGCATACTAACAGCAATGTTGGACAAGCCCTCCAGCAGGCTTGATACAACTAGTCTAAGAACACTCTTTTATGAAACAATGGCCATCATTAACAGCCGACCCTTAAGTGTGGAACATCTCAATGATCCCTCAGGTCCAGAGCCGTTAACTCCCAATCACATATTAACAATGAAGTCTTCAGTTATTCTCCCCCCCCTCCAGGAACATTTTGCAGAGAGGCTTTGTACTTGAAGAAAAGATGGAGAAGAGTACAATATCTGGCAAATGAAATTTGGCAGAGATGGAGGAAAGAATATCTATTAAATCTTCAACAGCGGCAGAAGTGGCATAAAGTTACACGAAACCTACAAATGAATGACATTGTGATACTACAGGATGACAACGCTCCAAGATGTAAATGGAAGCTTGCCCTAGTAGTAGAAGCTCTGAAGAGCCCAGATGACAAGGTTCGAAAGGTGAAACTAAAGACTAGTGAAACTACTTTTGACAAAGGAAAACCACTGACAAGGATAATCTATCTAGAAAGACCTATTCACAAAGTCGTGACCTTACTTGAGACTGACGAGTATACTAAAACAGACTCTAACAATGACACTACTTAGAAAATCACCTTAAGAAAGTAAGGGGTGATTTGGTGGGAGTGTAAGTGTCATAAAATTACTCAAATTTGGTTCCAGAAGTTAGAATATATAATATTTGTTTGTATCGTAAATCTGTGTCTTTTATTTTGGAACAAGTGGTATCTTCCTCACCGAGTTACCGCGAGAAGTGATGTGAGATGTGAGATGTGACTTGTATGTGTATGAGGAAGCACGAGAACCGCTTTGTCTGAGCCATCCGCAGCACCTGCGCTGCCAATTACTCGAGAAACAGGGAAACCGCTTTGTCTGAGCCATCTGCAGCACCTGCGCTGCCAATTACTCAGGTAACTTGTTGTGTTTGTGTGTAATATTGTAAATATTTGCTATGTGTAGTATTGTACTTATTTTGTGTGTTAATTAGAAACAGGAAGACTGATTGTACTGAATTTGGACCTCCGAAGTGGCACGCGGCCACGAGGTATTTCTTTTTCTTGCTAAAGCATATATTTATCTTCAAAG